CTTGGACCTGCGCCTGAGCTCTCAGCTCGCTACAGTCATTCCTGATTCGGTCGGCCTCACCCCTAAGACGTTCTAGGGCCTCCGTCTTTTTCTGCAACTATGATAGGCGAAGAGTTAACCTCAAAAGTCAAAAGGCAGAACGTGCACTCGCCCGGAACGGAAACTTACCTGCTCTATCAAATAGCTCTTGTAATTCGAGCTCCGGTACGTCTCATAACGCCCGTGTGACAATTCAACTTTCCTCTCCTCGCAAAGGATCCTAAGGGACCTACCCTCACCCAGAGCTTTCCGGAGCCTAGGTCCATGGCGGAGCAGCTCGGACCTAAGCCTGTCAAAAGCTTGCAAAAGAAAAACTCGATAAGGAAGGGAAGACGCAGATTCGGGAGGCCTATGTCGAAGCTCACCGCAAAGTAAGTCGGCGGACTTCCTTGAAGGCCGAGCACACATCTGTTGATCTAGTCCCCTTAGCCCCGGAAGAATCAACCCCGGTCGAAGCACGATCGCTCGGAGGAGCCATCTTTCTAGAACCAGAAACTTCGGGTGCAGCAGGCTTGGGCGGCATTTCCATCTCAGAGGCCCGGCCCCATTTCACCTTGCCATGAGCGCCATCGCCCTTCAAGTACATTTCCAACTTATTGTTGTCGCCCTCTGGCTCGGAAGCTGGCAACCCCTCCACCTCTCCGGAGGAGCACAGCCTCGCCTCTGGAGGCTCTCGACATTTACGACAGCAATATTAATACACGAAAAGGGAAATATGTCTCTCCTAATGAACAAGGGATAAGGAAAAAGTAGCACACGCACATACCGTGATGTTTTTCTTCCCATCTGCCCCGAGACACAGCTTACCACCTGCGCTCGTCACAAGTCGAGCGGATCGCCAGCTCCCGAACCCAACCAGGAAGATTAGGAACGTCGCCCGACGCCCATGAAATTGCTGCAGAAAAGGAGGAAACACGGTTATGAAACTAGCTTTCACCATGGACGAATCTGAGAAAGCGTGGGATGCTCCACTCATGCATATAGTTCCATTCTTCGGGGAATGGCATAAGTTCCATGGGGATAATGTCAGCTGTCCGGACCTGGACGAATCGACTAATCCAGTCCCGATCTCCGTCTTCCTCATCATCAACAACAAAAGGCGTGGACGAACGGCACCGCAAGGTTAACAGACCTCGATGGTGAAAGGGCCGGTACAGCCTGACGAGATGGCTAAGCGTGAATTCAAGCCCTACCTTCTCCGCAAAAAACCTCATCATCAACACTATTCGCCAAAACAACGGGTGTATCTGTGCTAAGGTAACCCGATACTTTACACAGAAGTCGAGCATGACCCTGTTGAGAGGTCCCAGTGTGAAAAGATACGTATATACATTCAGGAATCCATCGACAGGGTTCGTGATATCCTCGCCCGGGGGAAGCACCTGTAACGTTGCCTCCTCTCCCCATCCGCAGTCTCTCCTCACTAACTCAAGGTGCTCCTCTCTTATCAAAGACAAAGTCTTCAAGGTAAGCTCCCGCGGGTCCTGAGCACTGGGAGTGGAACTCTCCCCTCTCTTCTATGCAAACCCCGAAGTAGCAGTCAAGGCTATGGCAAGACTAGAAGAGCTAAAGCGGGAACCTACACAAACACTCTAGTGCTAAGGTAACGAAGGACTCGATGCCGAAATGGAAGGATAGCTATCTAAAGTAGTGGGGTCTCCCAAGAAGCGGAAACAACCCCATATATATGTGGGGAAACAACAACGGTCCGCCTGATCAAGATAGGACCCAGGAGGCCAATGACTCTGATGCCAGTCTCGAGGTGGTACCCGGCCTCGAGGACCTCCATCAACAAGAAGTTAGGCTTAAAGAAGCCAAAAGCATCATATCCAGTCCCGAGGTGGTACCCGAACTCGAGGACCTCCGCCAACAAGAAATTAGGCTTAAAGAAGCCAATTGCATCATCTCTAGTCCTGAGGTGGTACCTGAGCTCGAGGACCTCCATCAACAAGAAGCCAGGCTTAAAGAAGCCAATGGCATTATCTCCAGTCCCGAGGTACCCGACCTCGAGGGGCTCCGTCAACAGTCCCGAGGTGGTACCCGACCTCGAGGGCCTCCGTCAATAAGAAGTTAGGCTTAAAGAAGGCAATAGCATCATCTCCAGTCCCGAGGTGGTACCCGACCTCGAGGACCTCCATCAACAAGAAGCTAGGCTTAAAGAAGCCAATGGCGTCATCTCTAGTCCCGAGGTGGTACTCGACCTCGAGGACCCCCATCAGCAGGAGGTTAGGCTCCAGGAAGCCTTCAGCATCATTACAGAGCCCAAGATGTTATCCAATCTCAAAGGCTCCCCTCAAGAAGAAGAACGAGCACTTCGGGCCCCGCCCATAAAGGCTCGACCTCAGGATACCGCCTAAATCTAGGTAACCCCTCATCTGGGACCTATCTACAACGCCTTAAAGAGTTATCTACGCCAATATCAAAGCAAGTCTTCAGATGCATAAAGATAATCCTCACTCAGAAACCGCTCTCCGAAAACTCCAAGGTTTGAGGCACTATTTTTACATGACTCGACAGTCCCGATGGCCCGAGTCAATCGGACCAATTTGGGCTTGGTCCAAGGAACGACGGCGGGCTTAGAAATGAGCCATTTCTATCAACCAATGACAGAGAAGAATACTCGCACCTGAGTTAGATATTGGTAATCATCAGCAGAGGCATACATGTAGAATCCCCACGAATATAAAAGAGTATGCCAAGCATCAAAGGTGGAAGTCAAGGAAATATATTTATATTTATAAAAATTTGCTTACAACGGCCCTCGAGGGATCTTTACATATGATTACAAAAGTTTACAAAAGGTCCCTACAGAGAAACAAAGATGCAAAAGGGAATACATGAAGTAAAAGCCTAAAACCTAGTCTACCCTCGATGGTCCATCACCGGTAGCAGCATTCCTGAAGCGCCGCCTCCTCGAACTTGCATCCTCGAAGGTGATACCTTCGACCGCCACCTCCTCTATGTTCCCAGCTCAATCCCTCAAAATAATATCTCCGAGGGAGAAAATGAAGAAGAGGAAAGAGGGAGGATGTAGAAGAGGCAGAAAAAAGAGACATAGCCCGCCAAAGCCAAAGGTTGAATATTCAGCGGGCCCCAATCTCGACGGCCGATTGTGCCATTTTATCCTTTGAGAAAAAACCCAAGGAATGAAGTGCCACACCAGGCCAGGGTAGGAGAGTGAGCAGCGGTGTATAATCCGAACGCTCTCCCGAGCAGCGGTATAAAGTCCAAATGCCTTTCCGGATCGGAAGAAGCCGGCCACCACTGTCTCATCGCCTCGAGCCAATAACGACAGTAGTATCAGTCATAACAATAACAACAACAGCAACGAAAAAATGGTGTGATCCCGCTCGACAAAGGGAAGCTCAGGCGGGAGGCCATCACACAGCTGATAAGAATACTGCCATACAACCTTAAGGCCGTGAACACCAAACATGGTGGTTAACAAAAAAGTAAGATGGTGAGAAGAAAGTAATGAACGAACGGAGAAGGGAATTTAGATGAAGAGATAGTGCCAGAATACCCTCATTTATAGGGGGAGATCACACGCCCATCAATGCCTTTGAAAGACGGATCCACAGGCGTAATCAATGCGTTCTTAAAAACTAATCGATGGTGGTACTCTCACTTTGAAGAACGGGAATCGACAGTGCATTGAATGGCACCAAAAAGACAAGTCCATGGGATGTCCCGATTATCGTGAAGGCTCACGTCATAGGTTGCGTCACCGGTATGACATCGTCGCGGGGAACCCAAAGAGTTGGGCATCAAAATCATTTCCTATCACTTCGTTCTAGGAAATGCGGAGACTATCTGTATACGGCAGAATCGGAGGGTCCGATTTCCCGTCATTAAGGCGTTTCGGAAGATCACCTCGAAGCCTCGAGTCTGCAAAGATGCGCTCGAGTCTTCTTCGTCGGAGCTCATCGACACCCGGCCTGAAGAGAATATCGATCGAGGCTAGAGTAAAAATGGGAGTTCCCAAGACACGCGGCTAAGTCTGACAAGGCCTAGCCGGCCTACCCTGAACCCAGATCAGGGTGTCGCATCTAGATGTCCCATCTCCATATCTTTACTACTAATGTATGTCGTACCATATAAGGTTTCCCCTCTATATAAATGGGATCCTTATCATTTTGTAAAAGGACTGATGTTGCTCCAACTATTCTACACGAAATATATGATAACTCTCTCTCTTTTCTCTCTAACACACTCTCTCGATATTGTTGTTCTTATTTATTAGCTTCATACTTGTTCTTCATTTATTGCTTATAATTGGTCATAAAGAGCCTCTTTAAATTATATCACGACTGTTAACCCTTCCCCGATTGCCCCTAATAGCTCGAACTCGAGCTTGAGAATTGACCTCGAGGCCCCAAATCAATGAGCTCGAGGCCCTAAACGGCTAACCATCGGTTCGAATATAACTCTAGTTTAGCTCGCATCTCATCCTTAAAACATCACACACATAGCATCAACTGTTTTACAACTAGCATAAAAATAGATCACGTATTTTTAGAGTTCCATCAACAAATTTAATTGTTATTACCGTTTTCACGGTAAACAATAGTCAAGGTGCTAAGCCTAATAGCCAGCCAAATACCAGAATGAAGTTTAAAACTGTTAATTTTTAGTGATTGTTACAAGTTCCTATTAAGATTTAAGACAGACACATATTCCGGCATCTTTTTATTAATTACTATTCTTTTCGTTTTAATTTAATGTGAAATTTATTTAACTTGATTCGAAACTTTAGAAAGAATGAAATATTTTTAGAATTTGTGGTCTAAATATTCCATGACATTTTTGTGGTGATTAAAATAATGTCAAAAATTTAAAAAGTAACATAGGTTGTAAGACGCATCAGCTTTCGCAGTCGAGAGAAAATAATGTATAAATGTAGAGCTTTAAATAGACAAAATATGTAAGATAAATATATCTAGATAAGGATTTAAAGTATATATGGATAACTGAAACTGAACTTTATTAATGATAATCAACTTCTTTTATTTTAATTATACATCAGCTAAAGTAACAATACGAATTAACATTATTTTTCTTGAATATTAATCATTAATTAGTGACAACTAGCATGACATGTATCCGGAGAAACATAGCATGCTTTATCCACAGTGCAACACCGTTTGGGAGGTGCGCCTTGATCAACAACTGGGATGCATGGATTGGCTATAACTTCAGCTTTTAACTCTTGTACTTTCATCACCAGCAGTTGATGAAAAAAGAAAAAATATAAGAAGATATTATACATCAGTTCAAGGGGCAAGTGCACAGATAGTCATTTTCAGGAATGCTATTTAGAGATTAGTCAGTACATATTTTATCCTGAAATTTTTAACTAAAAATCCTAACTTCAAGACTATTCAAGACATTTTTGTCCCATAAAATTGAACTGAAAAACTGAAATGTAAGACGCGCTAGTTAATTCCTAAGTAACAGCCCTATAGAGTGGATACCTGGTGTCCTCTACTTAGTTTAACTTCTATATACACAGACGTGCGTAAATTTTTCTTTTTTACACTTTTCAATCACCTAAAAGATAATAACCGTCCTTTAAAAGTTGAATTAGTAACCTGAAAACAAGTCCCGCTTCAACAGATTTAAATATACTAAAAGTACAAAAGATTTTTCCACTGTCAATCTATGTATATCCAAAGATTTAATATATATATATATATATATATATATATATATATATATATATATATATATATATATATNTATATTCAATCCAAAGATTTTATATATATAAGTTTTTGGATTAAAATATTGGAATAAATATGGACATACAATAATGAAGAGCCAACAAGGAGAATAAAACCATGCAAAGTAGCAAAGCTGACCGAAGGGAGAATTTTGTACTGGCCATTGAAGATATGATTTAATGCTAAAATGTCAAAATATATGAGAAATAGTTATGCAATTTTCCCTAATATATAATCCTACGGAAGTACTTGATTTTGGTAACTAACACAAACTAATGATTAATTTACCAAGTCATTTCCTGATTTTTTTTTTATAATTTAGAAGCACACATTGAAAATCTCAACTCCTACCTTTTACATCTTTAATTGAACACCCTCACTATGATAAATGATCATTGAGCAACCATATGGTAAAGTCAGACTTTTAGAAAACATATAAATTGAGTAATTGATGACAAAAAATCAAAATTAAAATAAGCATCTACACAAAAAATGCAGAATATTAGGAAATCAATAAATTCAAGAAATGGTTTTAAATAATTTCTTTTAGAGTGTTAACCAAATTTGGTTTTAGATAATCTCCACAACTCTCCATTGCTCAATTGACAAAAGATATACAAGATAAATATTAGGTGATTACTTCACATTTACCTGAATTTTGGTGAATAGAGCGTTCCAGTATCCATATCGGTGAGAAATAATAGATACCCTATAGAATAGTTAAGGTGTACTCGCAAACTGACCTAAATAGCACTTACTAATTTTTTCAAAAAAGAAAAAGGGAACATATAACCCAAGGACCACATTTGGCATGTCGTCTTCATTTAAAGATGCTAAGCTAACAGCCACACACGCATAAAGCTTTAAATGATAATGAAAATGATAGAGAATTGACTTCTACTGACTTATGTGAACAGCTAGAATCCACAATTTAAAATTTATCGGTTTAATTTTTAAAGTTCTTACTATTGAATCCGTTATATTTGTCAAATTATAGGTTCATATCTACTATTTGTTGTATTTTTCGTAATTTTTACACATAAATTTATGATCTACGCTGAAAGTAATGTGTTCAGATGAATCCGATAATGCATTCGCCCCTTTAGTGGGACACTTCCCCACTACATGTATCTACAAGAGAAATATAGCTATTAATTAAATTCAATAGTAACAGCAGTGTGTGTGTATATATATATATATATATATATATATATATATATATATATATATATATACATATATATACATACATACATACATATACAAAAATGGAGTATCCATTATCTGATCAAGAAAGCAACACAACAATAACGACATCAATAACTACATTTTAATCCCAAACTCAACTGAGATCAGTTGTATGAATTTTCGTTGACCATATGACTCTATTAAGCTCATCTCAGGCCAACATTATACAGACAAGAAAGCGAACGATGCTAAGTCAACATACATACATAGCCAGGGGCGGTTTATAGTCCAAATCATGGGTCACGCGAACCCATGGTCTCTCTGTCAAAAAGATTAGTCTAATATTATCTATTGGTACCCATGCTCCAAAAAGACTGAATGGTGCGCTAGATTGAATATTAGGTTATTTATCTAGAGGAATAAGGGTTGATTCCCACTTAGTACTTTTTATTTTATTTTATCCTTTTTAGTGGTGCACTCATGTTGAAGAAATCCTATATGGCTCGAGAAATAAGAGAGCATTAAGGTTAAATAGCATCTTGATTCAAATAACTCTATGTACAAATACTTATTTTCCTCTATTTGATTATTATCTAATAAAAGGAGAGGGCTAAAGAGAGAATATAACTACTCTATATACTGCTATAAATATAGAAAATTACATAACAAAGGATTTATTGATTACAATGTTGTTTCATTCCTTCGCTTGCGCATACGTGCACCCCAAGACATATTGTTACCAGAATCCTTGTGCATATTTCTTCTCTTTTAACTCTGACAATGTCACGATCCAAAAATCCCTACGAAAAAGTCGTAATGGCACCTAGTCTTTAAACTAGGTAAGCCTAACATTAACGGAAATAGCATTGATATTTGCCAACTTTAAATTCAATAACTCTTAACAATTTACAATTCCCAAAACCGGTAGTACAAGTCACAAGCCTTTCTAAGAGTAGTTATACAAAATAAATACATCACTGTTCCGAAAGAAAGGGAACAAATGGAAATAAGTACAATTGAAGGTGACTCTGAGGACTGCGAACGCTGCAACATGTTTACCTTGAATCTCCACCGCAACGAATAGCTACTATCGATCAAATACCTGGATCTGTACACAAAAATATACAGAAGTGTAGTATCAGCACAACCGACCCCATGTGCTGGTAAGTGCCTAGCCTAACCTCGGCGAAGTAGTGACGAGGCTAGGACCAGTACCAAATAAACCTGTGCAAGATAGCATACAAAATAATAGGATGCAGATAACAATGATGGCAACAATGATCAACCAGTGATATAAATAGCAGGCAACAAGAACAACATAATTGTTTCTCAACAAACAATAAATACAAGTGCAATCAATTAATGAAGTTCTTCAAATATAAATCTTTCGACTATAAATCCTTCAAGTAATAATCTCTAAGATAATATGCTTTTCAATAAATATATTTCGAATATATTTCCTTCAAATAAATATCTTTCAAATAAGCATCTTTCGAATATAATTCTTTCGAGTAAGGGTCACCTTGTGACGCTTCATTTCATAATCATAATAATATAGGTCTCAGCCCACTTTCATATTTTTACGGCATCTCGTGCCCATATTTGTATTACAACCTCACGGACAACTCACGTGCCATTAAATAAAACTATAATATTTTCCCGGCACCTTGTGCCCACATATTTCTGTCTCGCATTGCACAACAATATTCTCATGTTACTTAGTTCATAGGTTCCATACCCAATACAATTAAGAATATTCAAGGAGCCTCATTCGCTTAACATAAAGTAGAGTACAGCTTCCAGCCCAATTAGAAAATCAACAAGAAAAGATGAAGTTATTTTTAGAAATTATTTGATAAAGAAAATACCCTTCTCAATTAAAGTACAATATCGAATAAATCATTACCTTTAATACGAGAAATCCATAAATCAAAACATAGTAGAAATTTCCTTTTTAAGTAAAGTACAACCTCAAAAGGTTTAAGGGAAAATTTAGTTGAGAAATCAATTGAGGTAAAAATGTAGCAATTGTTGAATTTTGAAGTATCAAACATATAAAAAAGTAAAAATAATGCGAGGTATTGTAAACACTATGATTCCAACACAAAGGATCATAACAGTAAATGAATCTAAACAGTTAATACACTTGAATTGTTAATAACAAGTAAACACAACAACAGAAAGTGCACGGCATCACCCTTCGTGCGTTAACACTCTCTCACCAAAACAATACACGGCATCATCCTTCGTGCTTTACACTCTTCCTCACCCAAGAAACAAACACAATGCAAATAGGGTAAGGGAATCTATAACATCGAAATAAAATCAAGTAACAAGTGCACGGCATCACCCTTCGTGCTTTTACTCTCGTCCTCACCATAAGAATCAATATAAACTGCACGGCATCACCCTTCGTGCTTTTACTCTCATCCTTACCATAAAATCAATATAATAGGCACGGAATGGTACATCGTGCGGCACGGCATCATCCTTCGTGCTTTACATTTTCTCATCATAATCATACACGGCATCACCCTTCGTGCTTTACACTCTTTCCTCACAAACAACAATGCACGGCATCACCCTTCGTGCTTTATCACTCTTCCTCACCCAAGCAACAATCACAAACAATGGGGCGAGGGGATAGACAAGATTAAAATAAGAATCCCGGCAAGGGAACAACAATCAAACAATTAAATCCCGGCAAGGGAACAACAATCAATATATCAACTTCCCGGCAAGGGAACAATTTATACCTCTTTCTCCTTCTTCCACTTTCATTTCATAACTCACTCTAACACTTGAGCCAATGCTCCAAAGTGTGCGATCATCTCATAAACTTTCACAATTCGTATTGTAACTTGAGCCAACGCTCCAAGGGTTCAATCAACCCACTTGCTTTCACATATTCATAATATAACTTGAGCCATTGCTCCTCGATGTTCAAGAATCACAATTACTTCATTAACTTTCCACAACAAGTAGAAATCATCTTTAAAGCATAGATTATTCAACATAATCATGAAGTTCACATTATAAGACTCACGGTCATGCTAGACACCAACGTATAGATACTCGTCACCATGCTTATACGTCGTACTCACAATTAGCACATAACAAATAAGACTCAACTCCTAATCCCTCAAGCTAAGGTTAGACCAAACACTTACCTCTTTGAAGTTAGGCCGATATTCCAAAATAGCCTTCTTGCTTGAATTGACCTCCGAGAGACTCACACCTACCCAAATTAATTGTATAACTTCATTAAAATACATCGGAAATAATTCCGGATAATAAAACATTGACTTAAAAATTCACATTAAAAAGTCAACCAAAAGTCAACGCGGGACCCGCCTCTCGGAACCCGACTTAATTTTCATGAAATCCGAACACCCATTTCAATACGAGTTCAACCATACCAATTTTATCAAATTCCGACATCGGATTGTTCTTCGGATCTCAAAAATTCATTTTAGAAGTTTCTATAATTTTTCTCTAATTTTTCACCCCAAATCACGAATCAAATGATGAATTCAATGATAGATTCATGTACTCTAGCTAAATCTGAGTTAGAATCACTTACCCCGATGAATTTCTTGAAAAACCTTCGAAAAATCGCCAAAATCCGAGCTCTCTAGGTCAAAATATCAAATAAAATCCAAAACCTCGTATTTATAGAGTACCCCACGGATTCCCACCTCTGCGGACCGCACAAAAACGACCGCGGTCCGCACAAAACCAGTGCGGTCCGCACAAAAACGATCGCGCATGCACAGGTTTTCCTCTGCAGTGATAGGCTTTAGTATTTTGGCCATAACTTTCGCTACAGATGTCCAGATGCCTATTATAATATGTTTCTGAAAACTTGATTCAAAGATATACAACTGTCGTTTTTGAATCATCCCCAAATTCCTTGTAGATCAAAAGATATGAACTTCCGAAGTTGGACCGACGACCTGCGGATCTTCATGACCGCGGTCCATTTTCCGCGCCCAGCACTAAACCACCGCGCCCAGCACTAAATCCACCGCGCCCAGCACTAAAACTTCTGCCCCCATCCATTTTCTAAGTTCCGGAATGTCCGTACTCGCTCAAAACTCACCCGAAACACACCCGAGGCCTCAGACCTCAACCCAAGCATACCAACACCTCCCATAGCATCATTAACACCTAGTCGAGCTTTCGAATCACTCCAAACAAGATCAAAACACCAAATCAACTTCGGATTCAAGCTTAAGAACTTAGAAATTTTAAATTCCGCAAACAACGCCGAAACCTATCAAATCAAGTCCGATTGACCCCAAATTTTGCACACAAGTCATAAATGACATAATGGAGCTATTCCAACTTCTTGCGTCGGATTTTGATCTCGATATCAAAAAGTCAACCCCTCGGTCAAATTTCCAAACTTCGGCTTCTCATTTTTGCCATTTCAAGCCTAATTAAACTACAAATTCCCAAATAATTTTTCGGGCACGATCCTATATCCAAAATTACCATACAGAGATATTGGAATCATCCAAAATTCATTCCGGATTCGTTTACTCATATTTCTCCTTCCGGTCTATTTAATTCA